TCCCAAGCCAGCTGTTAACCAACATGCCACTGGGCCGGCCCTGTTCTAGGTACTCTTTATCACGCTGTGGCAATCTTTGATAGAACTGTAAGGGATATCACATCTACTAATAACAATTCTTCCTATCAGAAGTTTTCATTCAGTTTGTCTTCATTCTTCTTTGCCCAAACTCCCTTCTATATAGACTGCTGGTATTGCTTAAGTACTTTTCTAGTTTCTGCCATTTATAAGCACTGCCATTACTTACTTGGCTCCCAGTGTACTTGAGTAGAGAGTTAAATAATCAGGGAGGAAACAAAAAAGTGAGAGGTAAAATATTTGGTTATATGTCAGAAGTGATAGGATAATGAGTGCTCTTACCTGAATGATCACTGTCTATGATCCTAAAAATGGTCTCCAGGTTGGAACGATTTCGATACAGTGTTTCCAGCAAACTTGACTGTATGTTCTGCAAGAAAAAAACTCATTTTCTTTCTATAGCTTATGTTAGGCTTGTCCTAATTCTAACCCACAATCAATTCTGAAATAAGACACTTTTGAAAAAGCCTGAAGATGTTTTTCCACCCCCAACCCCCTCAGCCTACCAAGTAATCTAACAGTTTAAGAAGTATCTAGCTCATCACAAAAATGTTCTAAAATTCACCATGGTGCTGGTTGCACATATCTGTGAATATGCTAAAAACCATTGAATTGTACATTTTAAATGAATGAAATGTATAGTATGTGAATTATATTGCCATAAAGCTGTTTTTAAAAAGTACCTAGCTCATAGCTTCACCTGTATTACACATTTGATAAGTATTTATTGAATACTTTTTTAATGGAGGAAGCAGCGTGAAGTCAAGGAAGTCAGACAGACCTGGGTTTGAGTCTCAGTTCTCTAACTTAGAAACTCCTTGGTCCTAGGCAGGTAACTTAACTTCTGTGAGCAGTGTACTCATGGCTATAATGGAGCTGATAATACTGATCTCTTGGGGGTGATTTTCACAATAAACTGAAGCTACCTGTGGAAATAACACAAAATCTGACACAGAGAAACTCGGCTAACAGTTGTTCCCTTTTCTCATCCATGTTCCCTTTTGGGTTCTCAGTAAGAGGCTTCATGGTCCATCATGTGCCCTCATCCACAACTCACATCATTACCTCATGGCTCAGCTGTCCTTTGGCCAAGTCCTCCAGCCAGGACTTGTACTCCAGCGTGTTATCTGCTGAGCTGTTCACCAGCTGTGCCCTCAGCATTCGCCAAGGCAGTCCTAGGTGCACCACAGACTCCACAGCTGCTGCCCAGTCACTGAGGGTGATTAAACCTACAAGAAAGAGCGAACTTGTTGACTCATCTCCTGTGAACTTAGTTTGCCACCCAACAGTGCATACCTTTTTATTCTGACATTCTTCTTACTATCTGTAGGTAATAGAAATAATGGGCACTGTCACTATTTTGGTTGNCAGTGCGGGTAGGCCTCGTACAATTCCTGGAAGGCCTGACTAGAACAAAAGGCTGAGTAAGAAAGAAGTCTCTCTCTGCCTGTCTTTGAGCTGGAACATCATCTTCTCCTGCCTTTGAGTTTGGACGCAGACTGGAAACACGCCATCAGCTCTCCTGGCTCCAGCTTGGTGACTGCAGACTTTGGGACTTCTCAGGCTCCATAGTCACGTGAGCCAATTTTTTTATAGTAAATCTTTTTATATATGAATATAACACCCTTTGACAAACTAATCCCATTCCTGGGATTTTATGCTAAGAAAATGTGTAATTTAAAAGATTTTTGTAAAACAAGCTATGTGCACAAAGTTACTAACCACAGTGTTATTTATAATAATGAAAAACTGGAAACAATACACATGCTGAACAATTGACAAATGGTTGAATAGATTATATTGCATCCATTTGAAAGAAAGTTATGAGCATTATGCAGCCATTAAACTAATATTCATGAAGACTATGTAGCAACATAGGAAAGCTTATCATTAAATGTGGATTTATTTTAAAAAGCAGAACACTAAATGATATAGTACTATAGTTATAATAAGAAAAATTAAATAATGAAAAGAATCATATGTTTGGGTCATGGGATTACATAAACAATTTTTCACAACTTTCCTTTACCAATATGACATTTTAAAAATGATAAATAAAAGGCATAAAATGAAAACACTGAGGGAGTTGAATTATCAGTGATTCTTAACTAGGGTAGACTTCAGAATTAAAAAATACTTATACCTGGGTCCCACCTTGTGAAAATTCTGAGATGGGGCTAGGTCACCTATATATTTAAAAATACACACACATACACACACACACACACACACACACACACACACACACACCCTACACCCACAAATACACAGGTGATTCTGATGCATATTAGTTGGCAAATTCTCAACACAAAGTTGCACAAACGTATGGAGAATAAGGGAGCTAATTCAGCGACAAGCTTGGCATCGCTTACGAGGCACTTTGGTTGATGGAGACCAGGCTGTGCTTAGTGCGTGCCTGGCCTGCTGGAGCCACTGCCATTAGTGTTTGTGGCTTGTGGGCAATCTGAGGCATTGCCCTCTGAGCAGGATTGCTCCACAAGGCGGAAGGCCTCCAGGAACTCATTGATGTCGATGTGGCCATCCTTGTTGAAGTCAATGCTCCGGGCAAGGTCACGGATGCAGTCATCTGTGATGTCGATCTTCATATGAGAGCTGAACAGCTTCCAAGTCTGCCTGAACTCATCCAGTGAGATGAACCCTTACCAGAGAGACAAAGTCACTTCAGTGAGTCAGTCTAGTTTTCAATGTTCATTTCCTCTGTCATTCTTGCCAGAACACCTATTCCCTACTGTTAAACAAAGAAAACAAAGACCTAGTATCTAGTTCAAACCCCCAAGGGAATGGGGCAAAACCACTGGATCACCAGTGGTCCTCAACTGGGAGAAATTTTGCTCCTCTCTCTATAGGGGATATTTGGTAATATCTTGAGACATTTTTGATTGTCATGATTTGGGTGGGGGTGGGGTGCTACTGGCATCTAGCAGGTATAGGCCAAGGATGAGAGTAGTCATTCTATAATGCATAGGATGGACCCCCAAAACAAAGGATTATTCAGGCCAAAACATCAATAGTGCCACTGCTGAGAAACCCTGTATTAAATCATCCCAAACATATACTAATTTATTCTACTTATAGAAAAGCTTTGGACTTATACATCTATGGTCAATTGATTTTTACAAGGGTTCCAGGACCATTCAATGGGGAAAGAATAGTTTCTTAAACAGATGGTAGCAGACAACTGGAGGATGAAGCTAGACCTCTACCTTACAGTACAAATAAAAATTAGCTCAGGTGTAAATCTTCGTGACCTTGGATTACAGACCTTTTTCTCTTTTTTTTTTTCCTGATATGACACCAAAAACGCAAACAACAAAAGAGAAAAGATAAAATGGTTTTTTTAATTAAAAGCTTTTGTGCATCTAAGGATACACCAAGAAAGTGAAAAGACAACCCTTAATATCAGAGAAAATATTTGCAAATATATCCATATCTGCTAATAGTCTAGTATCCAGAATATATAAAAAAAACTCTTATAACTCTGCAATGAATAGACAAATAACCCAATTAAAAGATGGGCAAAGGATTTGCATAGACATTTCTCCAAAGAAGATACACAGATGCTCCTAGACTTACAACGGGGTTATGTCCTGATAAACCCATCAGAAGTTGAAAATATTGTAAGTCAAAAATGCATTTAATATACCTAATCTACTGAACATCATAGCTTAGCCTAGTCTACCTTAAATGTGCTCAGAACACTTACATTCGCCTACAGTTGGGCAAAATCTTCTAACACAATGAATACATTGTACAGTATTGGTGGTTTCCTCTTGTGATCACATGGCTGACTGGGAGCTGTGCCTCACTGCCTCTGCCCAGCATCACAAGAGAGTATTGTACAGCATATCACTAGCCCAGGAAATGATCAAATTCAAAATTTGAAGCACAGTTTCCACTGAAAGTGTATCACTTTCAAACCATCATAAAGTCAAAAGATCCTAAGTCGATACATCCTAAGTAGAGGACCGTCTGTACAGTCGTCCTCCCTGCTTATCTGTAGTTTCACTTTCCTGAGTTTCAGTTACCCTCAGCCAACATGGTTCAAAAATATTAAATGGAAAATTCCAGAAATAAACAATTCATGTTTTAAAATGCACACTGTCTGTCCATCTGTCCCACCCCAGACGTGAATCATCCCTTTGTCCAGTGTATTCATACTGTATCTGCTACCTGCCCTTTAGTCACTTAGTAGCCATCTCTTTATCAGATTGACTGTCACGGTATTGCACAGTTTGTGTTCAAGTAACCCTTATTTTACTTAATAATGGCCCCAAAGCACAAACGTAGTGATGCTGGCAGTTCAGATATGCTAAAGAGAACTATAAAGTACTTCCTTTAAGTAAAAAGGTATGTATGTATAGGACAAAATATAGTGTTTATAGGTTTGGTACTACCCATCGTTTCAGGCATTCACTGAGGGTCTTGAAACGTAGCCCCCACGGATAAGGGGCAAGGGGGACTATTGTACAAATTTCCAATAAGCACATAAAAAGATGCTCAATATCATTAGTTATTAAGGAAATGCAAATCAAAGCCATAATGAGATTCACACCCAGAA